GGTGGCAGTATGGAAATCAATTGCCGTACTTGGGAGAGCCATAACTGCTTAGAAAACGAGCCTCGCCACAGACGCCAGGCCCTAAGACTGTTGAACAAGGGGTGCSAGGCTTGGCAGTCATATTTGAGAACTTAGAGGCATATATTCAACACAGGCATATGAGACGACCAAGTCGCCCTGGCTCCAGATAAAACTTTAAATAGCTGAGCTAAGACCTTTAACATCTCCAATCAGTAGAAACCTTGAATATCATCAAGATAGTCCTCATCGCGTCCAGTACACCAGAACTCTTCTTCTTCAATACCGCGGTCGACGCCGAATATACTACCATTAGTTCTCAGTCTCTTCTGGACAGTCTCCTCCTTGCCTTCTAACTTTCGTTTCATGCCTATCATGCAACTGCCGTTGTCATCTCTTTCAGCTGGCGTATTTGACACGCCAATCAAGACTGCCCCGCCGATACGACACCCAATATGCTTAGCCCTCACATGAGATATCCAGTCATCCTTACCGTCAATGGTTTCATGGAGAGAATGATGGAGGCATGCAGGACACTGGAATTTAGCCGCGAATTTACTGCCATGCGCTTTGTTGAGGTGGATACTGAATCCTGCAATTGTGAGAGTCTTGTTGCACAGTAAACATAGAGCCGGTCTTTTTGCTTGGATAGGCGAGTTTTTGGCGCCGTGGTATCTCTCGGTGTGACTGCTCCAGGCTGGGAAGCCAGCAGGAACACTTTTCTCTTGGCCTTGGTGTTTACACTCGAGGCAATGAATAGGGCTCTCGAGGTCGTTCAAATGGACATTCTGAACATGCGCCGAAAGACTATTTCTAGATGAAAAGTCCTTGAAGCAAAGAAGGCATATGGAGCGGTCCTGGTCTGATTTAGCCTCCGTATCGGTAGATTCGCCGTCGGTAGTGTCGTTATCAGCGATGTCGTTATCAGCGATGTAGTTATCAGCAGTGTCGTTGTCAGGAGTGTCGTTATTGTTTGGAGCCTGTCGTAGATATCTAACAATTTTGCTGGCAATAGTATAATTGCTATCTTCCGCAATGAAGTAAGGCGCCAGCTGTTCAGCAGCCTTACTACTTGACTGATTTTGTCTGAAGCGTGGGGAAACCATCGTAGTTTGATGTAAATGTGACGTTGACTGTCCAAGGCTGCGAAGCTGGTCAGCCTTTTCGAAGTACTCTTTTCGTCTCTGTTCGAGCAATTTCCTCTCGAGGACATTTTTCACGTGCTGAATCCTTCCCAATAAAGCCTTTGATTCAGTGCTGCTGCAAGGAAGAGACAGTCGCTGTTGGCGCCATTCCTTGATATCCCTCCGGTTCTCGAAGGACTGGTACTCTTCCTCTGTAATATACACCGGTGCCGATTGGTCCCGTTTTGTAAATGTCTGGTGAAGGAATGAGACTGTTGCCTCATTCTTTCCCGAAACTTCGCCGTATGCTATACCCATGAGGTCATCCCGCATGTCTGCCGGGAGGTAACTTTTGCGGAACACGGCATCTGTATTGCCAAAAACATAACCTCGGAGAGCTGATGTCAAAACACCATCCAAGCGATTCCCGGCACCAACACGAACTGAGTACGGCCTTGGGTTTTCACGGAGCCCACCCACCAGGAGTACACGATGCCACAATTTCCAGTACAAATTGTAACCGAGCTTAAAAACAGGTTCATCTTTAATATCATCCTTCCATGATAGAGGCACATAGTCGACCTCACTATCAGGCTTGGGAAACAAGATGTCCTCTGGAGTAGTAAATTTGGTCGAGAATGCGTTCCTGAAGAACGCCATAGCGACAATATGAGTCAAGAGACAAACAGGCTTGAATGGAACGAGAGTAATACCAAATGTAAAGCTAATGAAAATTTCAGTAGGCGTTCTAACCAGTCTTTTGTGATCCATCATACCTGGACGTCTGGTCTCTCTCAATTGCATCCGTCTTCCTTTTGACATGGTGTATACGGACGGTGGCAACACATCGCGCCTTTTGAGGGTTTTGGGGATCCCTAAGCCAACCGAGTTCGATATCGCGGTACGTCAGTTTCTTCAGACTTTCATATCGCCACCCACCAATTCCTCCCATTATCAACATGGCAGAGAATGATAGTCTCTGGTTAGGCTGACAGGTTATATAACTGGCTCGCTGCCAGACGGTTCTGAGGACCATCAGCAGGTCTTGTAAAGTCATCTCTTTCTTATCAAACAACTGGGTACGGCTGAGGTTGTGTATTATGGCTAGTCCCGGGATGAGCTAAATGACAGAGATTTTAGTAAGTCAGAAGCAACAAATCGGCATTGAGGAGGTCTTACTTTGCCAACGTCCGCCGCTGGCCCATGCCCACGACCACCAGCATCAGTACGATATTTAAGCATGTAGAGTTGTTTATGAGCTGGAAATTGCTGACGGATATTTGCCAGGATCTTTTCATCAGCCACATGAACCAATGCACACCAAACATCCTGTATAGTCCCGGCGCTCTTCACAGTTCTTTCCTCTTCATATTCTTCTGGGCCGAGACAAGGCACAAGCTTTGTCGATGTGACGATATAGTACTCAAGGAAGCCACGGAATTCTTGAATGGATTCCGTGGATCCCTCGCAAAACTCTTTCCAAATCTTGTCACTGTCGAGATCTGAGGACTTGATATATCTATTCTGAGTGTGAGACCAAGTCTTTGAGTGTGCCTTTGGGGAACTTACTCTACCCAATCATCCCAAACCCTGCGACGCAAACTTTTGACTTTATTCGATACGATCTCCGTCAAATATAAGGTTGTATTGAGGTTTTTATTTCGAATTTCTTGAATAATATCCTTGTTGACTTGGTGGATTCGAGACTTGCTCTTTCCAGATGGTTTGTGGATGCTATGGCTTGGTTGGGCTGAGGGTTGAGACATTGCGAACTTGTCGGATGGGCATATTAAATTGACAAAAAGTGGTAAATATTGAGCTAGGAGAACAGAGGGAGCGGCGTTTGAAAAAGGAGTTGATCAGGTGATGACCATGTCTGAAAGAGGCAAAATTCCAAGAATTATAATTAGAGTCCTAGAAATCGAGGTTGTGTTTTATTTGGTGTTAAATTTAAGTCTCATGCCAGGTTCAAACAGCTATGGAGGGGTGTATTGTGGCTAAGCGCCCGCGAATTCCGGGGCGTGCAAGCTCAGTTTTACCGGGTGTAGTGAGGGCAAACGGTAGTGGGGCCCGAAGACCGGCTCCGTCTCATTGAAAACGGTACGGAGCTCAATCGGCCCCAGTTGGTCGTTGCGGCGGATAAAGTGCGGCTCTTGAATTCCGGTCTAGTTAGTGCTCCTAACAGCCTCAAAGATCTAACCAATAGTCCAGAGCTTTTAAAAAGTAATTCGAATTGAAATTAAAACGCAGCCTTCTTAATGTATAGTAATACTATTTGAAAATGAATATAAAAAAAAGATTAAGTGAGTTTTGAAACTTTTTTGCTATTACCTTGCATAGATCTTGATAGTGAAAATATATATGGCTCTGATTGGTCGCTGGCATGCAGCAAGCTCTCCAAAAAATGAGGACTCGTGTCTCCGAGATCAGAGGCTGCGACCCTGGAAAGCTGCGACACTGTTGTGGAATGAAAGAACTTGACGGGATCCCGTATTTTCCACTACCTTTGGTCGCATGTATTAGCTACGGCCTCGAGACGGCCTATGTCCACAACAATTTGCTGCAAGCCATAGGCTGGAGAATCTCTTGTTGGCCGCACAGTATTGTGTTGCGATAACCCACGACAGCGAGTTGGTAACCGAAGGCAGTGAAAAGGTTGACTCCTTCAATCGCTTAGAGCATGTCATAAAATGGTAACGTGATTTCAGCTGCCTTGATTATTGTTTGATCTACCTAGATAGCTTCGCGTGTCGGTTCACATCCTTGTATAATAAGTACCTGAACTTGCCAGGTCCACCAGCATAGCACGCCTGAGGACAAAAGGCCCGCAACCACATAAAATCACCAGCTTCAACCTCGACCCAATCCTGGTTCAGTCGGTAAACAGCCTTTCCCTCAAGAACATAGAGACCGTGCTCCATCACATGTGTCTCAGCGAACGGAATGATACCACCAGGCTGGAAAGTCACAATGTTGACATGCATGTCGTGTCGAACATCCGTAGGGTCAACAAAGCGTGTTGTTGCCCACGCTCCATTTGTATCGGGCATTTCTCTAGGCTCAATATCCTTCTCATTGGCGAAGAAGGCCTCTGGTGCATCAAGACCAGGCACTGATTCGTAGGCTTTGCGGACCCAGTGGAAGCGAGCTGGTTCGCTGGAGTTGTTGCGCAGCGTCCAGCCGCTCTTGGGAGGGAGGAAGGCATAACCTCCCGATGAAAGAGTGTGAGGTTCGCCAGCTAGCGTGACGGTGATTTCACCCTCGACAACGAACAAGACACCCTCAGCAGTGTCATCCATCTCGGCACGGTCACTGCCACCGCCTGGTTGAACCTCCATGATGTACTGAGAGAATGTCTCAGCGAAGCCCGAAAGTGGGCGAGCAATAACCCATAGCCGTGTCTGCTCCCAGAATGGAAGAAAGCTGGTGACGATGTCGCTGAAGCAGCCTTTGGGGATGACGGCGTAGGACTCGGTGAACATAGCCCGGTCGGTGAGGATTTGGGTTTGTGGGGGCAGGCCGCCCTTTGGTGCGTAGTAAGCACCCACTGTGTTGTTGTTGCCGCCCATTTTGAGACTTTGAATTGAGTATTTTAAGAGAAACAGTTTCAAGCCGTAAGATTGAAGATTATTTTTAAGAGGGAGATTAAATTCTCGGTCATCAAGTCCGATATCGAAAAGAGCTCACTTGCTACACCAAAAGTACCCCGCATGAACCCCTCCGAAGCGGACTGGACCCTTTTTGGAATGTGGCCAATCGGGCCTTTGACAATTCTGTCGCTTTCGTCTCAAGTTCGTGCTATTCCCAATTCAGCTACGAAATAGCGACTTAGCAATGGACTTCGGAAGAGTAGCCCGAAGAATCGGGGTTGTCAAAAACACTAGCATTCGTATTGCAGAACTGTACGAGCCTGAAGTACGCTAAGTAATGCTTCAGTTAGAGCGGCATGAAGACCCCTGAGACTGTGTGCAATCGCTACGAGACAGAGAAAGAGTTGCCCCCTTCTTTGCAGACGTATTGATGGACACAGGATCCTCGACGATAATCCCCTTTCCTTCCGGAGCAGGACGAGTGATGGAGAACTCATCCAGCTTGTAGTCAGACTTCCCAGTCAACGCCATCTCAGCAAGTGCTTTGCCCAGAGTAGGCACAAACTTCATAGCCCAACCAGCCGTGAAAATAGCAATACTCTTCTCCGCACCGCCTTGGAGATACTTCTCTGGCAAGAAATCCAGCACAAACATGTTATCTACTTATGTTAGCATGTACATATAGGCAGTGGTGCCGTGGTCTTACCGAAAACATTGGTCTGGAGACAACTAACAGTCGAGGCCGGAACGGTAGCGTCAACGCCGACGACATGATCTCTTACGAAATCCTGAGTGTCTTGAATGTCTCTTGGATCAAAGACATTGGCCTGACGTTGACTCGGGTCGTCGATTGTTCGAGTAGCAGCATCCACTGCAATTCTCACAACATTCGGTGGGCCCCATGGCAAGGCTGGGAAGCCGTAGAAGAGTTGGGATCTGCCGTTCACCGATGGCCCGAATTGGAACCACATGCCTCACCCAGTGTTAGTCATATGAGTTACAGCATGAAGGTACACTTACTAGGGAAGATAGTGCCGTTTGGTCCAGGATTGGTGTTGAAGTAGGTAGCAACCATTTCCCAAATTTCCAATCTCAGACCAATGCTGAAGCTCGGCTTTAGGACATGATTGACGTACGCTCCACTGGTAATAATGATCTTCTTTGTCAAATACTTGACCTCTTTGTCATGGACCATCGCGTGGACTTCCCATATGGATTTATCACTGTCTAGAGGGCGAAGCTGCTTGACCTGCGTGTGCTGCTTTGCCTGGGCGCCGTAGTCCTTGGCGAGACCGTACAGGGTGCGGAGAAGGAGTTGGACGTTGATGACACCGTTATCAGGGGCGAAGAGTCCGATCCATTTGCGATCAAGGTTCTTGAAGGGATACTGCTCCTCGATCTGTTCAGCAGTAACTGTCTTGGTCAGAATAGAAAGAGAGAATGGGAGTGAGCATACATACGTTCTTTATAGGACATTCCAAACTTGTCCAAGTTTGCCTTGGGCCCCAGAAGTGATCCTATCACCGTCAGTACAGCCTCTTAGGCGTACAAGTGTCTTACCTTCTGGAGTATCGCCACCCATGTCCTTATCACCAAAGTTCAAGAGACCTCCCATCCAACGAAGCGACACTCCAGCATCCTTCTCAAGAGCATCCCAATGCTTCATAGCCTCAATCGCGAGCTTGGCCATGAACTCCTCAGTGTACCTATTCTATCAGCCGGGTCCTCCGGATTTCTTCTGCGATAAACTCACATAGTTCGAAACATGCGGGCCAGATCACCAGAACTACCGGCTTGGTTGAAGAAATTATTCTGTTCAAGAATCATCACCTTGCTTCCAGCTTTGGCCACTTCGTATCCTGCGGCCAGACCAACAGGTCCTCCGCCGATGACCACGACATCGAAGACGTCTGAGTTTGAGTTTGAGTAAGCCATTATGCCTAAAATGATATAAAATGTTCAGTCTCAGTGTCGCTGTTCTCGCTTACGGAGTTTCACCTGGTCATGACAGCCAGAGCCAAGGCTCACGATCAGAGGTGAGGACCTCGTCCTTCTTGTACAGAGACACAGCGCTATAGACTAGGAACGGCCCGACATCTCTGCCGTTGCTATCACATTCCATCCTGCAGAAAATTACGATAGTTTCTCATGCAGAATGCAGAATGTGCTGTAAGCAGTATAAGTGAGGGGTAAATATCACACATCGTATTCAGCTTGTTACCATGTCTCAGGTCGTGCAGGACCCCAAGTACTTATACAACATACAATACACTAGTGGAAGAGAAAATCCAGTACAAGCTACACAGGCAGTGACGCTGCTATGCATACCACGCTTTCACCACGTTAGCAAGAGTTTCTGTAATGCGTTAGGATTATCGACTACGCTTCTGCATTTGGACCACGTATTGATTCAGGCGCAGCTGAATGTAAGACAAAATACGCCACTGCTGTTATGGACCAGCGGTGTAATGTGATATTGATTGTTTAAGCACTTGCAAATATGTGCAGGTGACAGAAACAATTTGTTTTCGCAGTCATAGCGCATCGGTCGTGTTTTGCTAACATAGAATTACAATGAAAGACTTTCGTCCTCCGATGAATAGAAATCTCTTACCAATGGAAACAGTGTTGAAGTTAAGTCTCAGCTAAACTAAAATTACATGTATGAAGAATGTCTTGCCAATAAAATTCCAGAACGAAGTTTCATTCGCAGGCCGTAATTGGTGAGAGACAGATTTGCTTGCTCATAGCATAGCTATGCACTCTCAAGGTCATAACAAGGCTTAGTTATGTCGCTTCTTTATCCCAAAACTGTAGTCAACGCAGCCCAATTTCAGTGGAGGCGAGGTTCGGCAATTGACACTCAGAATATTGGTTGCATCTAGCTGTAAGATGCAAGCGTTCAGAATGCTGGAGGCAATCCAAAGTCATTCACACTTCTATTTATCAGCTAATCATATTAATGAGACATCCAAGTACCACATTGGGCTGACATGAATAATTTATTGAGTTGATACAGCTTTGAAAGATGATGCGAATATGGCAGGCCTGGCTCCGCCGACAAGATTGATTCGCTTCAGAACGTTCTGACTCGATGATCTGTGGCCTTTCGAAAAGTAGATACCCCTAACCAGGCGAAGAACAATATTTCGTGATTCTTCTCGACAAGATCTTGC